AGGACAGTGAGGTTCTGACCTGCATCTAATACATCCAGATATCAGTTGCGATTCAGCTCTAGACCCAGAAAAACAACAAAATCAAACAAGCAACACCACAGCTGACAGCAGCCCCAGCTGTATTGGATAACGGCCCCCTGCCCAGCACTAACCTATCGGTGGAGACCATGACCTTGAAGGACACACCTAGAAAGGTAATAGATATTCTTTTGAGGTCCTCCCGTGGGACCTCCCCTAAAGTCCCCACCCTTAAAAGCCAAGTAGCTCTCTCTCCAGAGCACTCCCTCACCTTTCCCCATGCCCTTCCCTCAGGCGTGTTTTCCTTGCTTCCCTCTTTCTACTAAGTTCCAAGGCCCTCCTTTTGCCTCTGTAATTAGTTTCCTGAGCCCATTTCTTCTATGGTTCACTTCTACCTCTCTGACTTCCTAAATAAACTTTTTTTTTTTTTTTTTTGCATTTGAGTCTTGCCTCTGAATTCTTTCTTAGCCAGAACTTAAGAACTGAGATTGCTGAATCAAGGTCAATTTGCTGGTAACAACTGGTGCCAACATTGTAACAGTATCACTTTTATTCTTTCCAATATTCTTCCTTACTGTATGATTCATGTCATACAGATATGCATTCAAAAAGGTGAAAATATTAATCTCTTCATATATTTTGCAGTGAGCTTCAAGGATGTCCTCTGAAGATTGAGGGAAATGACACAGAAAAAAGCTAGAGTCAGTGTTAATATGACTTCTCATTAGAATGCATGGATCTCTTTCCCACTGTAGGTTTTGCTTCTGGCTATACAAATTAGATATACTTTTATTCAGTGCACTTGTAGGATATGTCTTAATGGACTTTTTTTTTTTTTTTGGAAGATCACATTCTGGTGAATCACTGTGTGGAAAAGTGTAATTTGTTTTGTTCAGTATGCATTTTGTCTATGAAATAATACTTTCTTATTTTTATGCTGAAGGCATAAAACCTACATTTGATCTTTATATAGTTTTGTGGTCGCTAAATTATAATTTATATAGAAAACATAATTTTTATAGGTGAATACATATATTTTTTTAAAATTCTATTTCGCACTCAGGATAAGTCTCTGATATAAACTCAAAGTAAAGATAAATGTCAAGTTGTACATTCTATAAAATGCTAAATGCTCAATGAAATATAATCGTGGTACCTATATATATTCTCAGTCATTAGAAAAATGTACTTTTGGTACTATATCTTAGGATTCAGTGTAAACTGTGAGTATGACAGGGGAGTTTTGAAAAGCAGTCAGGGAGAGGTGATTTGGGACTGCTCTCAGAAAGAGTGATTGGTGTGAATTCAGTAGAATTTTACACCATACAGGTAGAGCTTATAAGCCTTATATCATGAAGAAGGATGAGGCTGGTGGGGTGTGGAATAAAAAGAAAGGGGCAAATAAAGACAAGACCATTGACAACATGAAGTTCACTGTTTAATATTAGTTGCTAATTCAAGAAAACTTTTTTCTTTGAATTATTTATCAAAATAATAATTATCAAAAACTTGTTTTCAGGCAATTTGGATACAGCAATATGTGAAGTATGGTTCTTTCTTCAAGGGATTCACACCGCAATGCTAGGTATAAAAAAGTTAACTGCTGATTTTCATAGAATAAAATAAGTTCTGAGGTGGATGCAAATACAGAGTATAATGGGATGACCTAAGACAGTCCCCAACCATCTCAGAAAAGGTGGCATATACCTGAGTGCTGAAAGCCAAGTAGAAGCTAATTGAAGAATGAACTCAGAAAAGCTGCTTATGGCAAAGGGAATACAGTGTGTAAAGTTGAGAGTCATGAGAAACCTGACAAAAAGTAAACATGGGAAGGTTGATAAAGCAGCAAGATCAGGGGCAGCAATGCACGGATTCTTATTAGTTTGGAGGCAATTGGCAACCCTTGACAAGATGTATCCTCCTTGATGATTAATTGCATAACTTGAGAAGCACAAATTGGTGGGCGGAGCACAAGATCCCTGAAGATGATACGGGAATTCTGGACTGGAACTGCGGGGTGTCCCCTGGGGTCCAAATCAAAGAATGAAACCACGGGTGGAAGATGGTATAGTAAAGGTGGAACTAGCATAGACTCCCACGTGGGAATGGGGAAGAGTCCCACTGAGTCCCTTTTCCCCACAGTTTATAAAGGCTGCAGATCTTTGTGCTTTGATATCCCCTCTGATTGGTCACTATTCACTTAGATTGGTTACTATAGCAACTCCTGAGCTTAAGCCTCAGGGGCAGTACTGAAGTTCCCTCCTTCCTCTCCCTTATTGTTCTCCTATTCCCTTTGGGCTTTCTTCTTCCTTCTTTACTTTGTAAAAATAGACCTTTTGCTACTCCCAGCTCCCTTGTCTTATGGAAATGTAACTTCTGCCACTCCCAACTCCCTTGTCTTATGGAAATGTACCCTTTTGCAGCTCTGTAGCCCTGTGCTTTTTCCATGGACCCTTTAATTTTTAAAAATTTCCTAAACCTGCCTATTTCACCCCTAAAAACTCCTTCCTATATAATAAAGAGCTAATATGCTAATTAAACTGACCAGCAGAACGACCATCCAGACAACCTTCCAGATAAAGCCGGGGCTGCAAGGGCCGAGCCCCTTGCACGGATTTTGTGCATCAGGCCTCTAGTTTAAAGATAAAAGCTTTAGTTTACCACTGGTATTTCATCATATTTCTTCCTTCTTCTTTGAAATTTTTCAAGATTATATTTAAGTAGATAGCTCATAAGAATAAAACGAAAAGAAAACTATATAGAGAAAGCAAAAAAAATAACATCTGGCTCTCAGTTTTTGGCTTTTAGCTTCATTATTAACATTTGAATATATTCCAGCTTCAAAGCTGCTATTTATTTTGGGGATTTGAAGTTGCTAATTATACCACTATTCTCTATGTTTTGTGTTCTGTTTGAGGAATTGAAGCTTGAACTAAAATGATTATTTTATTTACTGGAAAATCTAGATTTGCTAAATTTCAAGGCCAAGGCTAACAAGAGCTCTCAGGAGCTGTACCCCCAAATTGAACTTGCCTATGTACCCAAAGACATAGTAGTGTCTGACTTACCATACTCACACTACAACAAAGGCCTTCTCGGGTAGGTTTCTCTGAAGAAAATACTAGTGGAACATGTTGTTTGTGGTATGGACATTGTTCATCTACAAATATTTGTGTTTAATGACTGATAATGAAAATTAGTAATGCAATAATATTTTCATTTAATCATACCAGGTGCCTTTGTCTACCAGGGTTCTGGGTGGGTAAAAAATGACATACGGATACAATATAAAATAGGTTAAATTAAAGTTTTGTTATCCTAAGTTTTATTTGGAAATATTAGTATAAATTCACAAATCTTTTTGTGTAATACATTTCCTGTAACTGTCCATGGAAATGCTTAGAAACAGTGAAAGAAGCCCCTTCTAAGAAATATACAGTGTCAAATATCACTGTTAGTGTCCAGACTATGGTCTGGATATATCATTTTCAATCAAAAAAAATAAAAATAAAAAAGAAACACAAAAACAGGGCTTCCCATAAAAACCATGTATTTATTCTATGTTTGGGACAGAACATAAACAAGATGAGTCTGGACCACTTTGATGACCAGTGAAGTTATAAGCACTATGAAGGTCTTACGAAGAAGACTCAGGAGAAAACTTGAAGCAGCAGTCATTGGGAAAAGATGGAAATTTGCACATCAAAAATTTGAGTTGTCAGCTGAGGCTTAATCAACCAAGCTCCCTGAGACCGGCCCTTCTGAAGATTTGAGCAGTGTATCTCCATGACCGCCAAATAGACAACTGTGGTTTATTTTAAGAATATAAAGTTGGTTTAACATTTAAAACTTATGTCATGAATTTCATTGTATTAACAGAAGGAAAATACAGAAATATATAATTTTTATTATATATATATATACTTTTTGAAAATTACTACATTTTCTTTATTCACAGAAGATATCATTGCATGTATAAAATATCATGAGAAATCTATAAAAGGTATTGGAAAATATAATTTTGTTTAACAAATTCATATGATAACAGATCGATAGACCAAATCAAGTCCAGTTTGTAGACAATAGCCATTAACAAATAGAAATAAAAATCAATGCCATTGACAATATGATCCAGAAATATGAACCATATAAAGTTATCAGTATTTATGCTAGTACTGTATACATAAAACTAAGAAACATTGCTGAGAGTAATGAAATATGACCTAAATAAATGGAGTGATAAACCTTTTTTCGAGAATTATAATCTTCAATCTTGTTAAGATGTCAATTCTTTTCAAATGAATTTACATAGATTCAATGCAATATAAGCAGAAGCTCAGCAGGATTGTTATTGGAAAAGTTGACACTAATTCTAAAATTTATAGTTAAGTGTGAAGGACTTAAACTACATAAACAATTTTGAAAAAGGAATTTGGAGGAATTACAGTGCCTGATTTAAAGACTTCCTGTTAAGCTATACTAACTATATAAAGAATATGTAAGAATAGAAATAAAATCCATGGTGTGGAATACAGAGACCATGAATATAGGAAAGTTAGGAAGAATATAGAAAAACATAAGAAATATATTTGGGGGGGGGGAGAGGGAACAAAAGCTTAGAAAAACATCTTTGTAATGTTAAGTTGGACAAGGATTTTGTATATAGGACCCAAAAAGTATTGTGTTCAAAAGTATGATATAATTTTTTAACCTTATTAGTCATCCTCTATAAGACACCTTTTAAAAATGAAATGTAAGCATTATATGGAGAGAAAATAGTTGACATAGATTATTAGACAAAGGACTTGGGTACACACTTCATAAGACCTCTACAACTTCAAGATGGTTAATGATCCAGTAAAAAGGGGTAAAATATTTGAATAAACACTTGCCCAGAGAAAATATATGAATATCTTGTAATCATATGAAGAGACACAACATTAACAGTCATCAGGGAAAAGCAAATTAAAACCACAATGAGCCCTAGCCAGTTTGGCTCAGTGAATAGAGCATCAGCCTGCAGACTGAAGGGTCCCAGATTCAATTCTAGCCAAGGGCAGTACCTTGGTTATAGGCTCTGGCTGGGCCAAGCCCTGGTAAGGGTGCATGCAGGAGGCAACCAATCAATGTGTTTCTCTCACATTGATATTTCTTTCTGTCTTTCCCTCTTTCTTCCACTCTCTCTCTCAAAATCAATAGGAAGATATCCTTGGGTAAGTATTCAAAAACAAAAACAAAACCACAATGATATACCAATACACAACCACTAGAATGGTTAAAATCAAGACTTGTCAAGTATTGGTGAAGATGTGGAGTAACTTATTATCTCATACATTGCTAGTTAGAGTATAAAAGAGTTTGGAAATTTATAAACTTAAATATGCATTGCTCACATAATGAAGTAGTTTCATTTTTGGGTATTTACCAAGAGAAATGCAAACTGTATATATAGAGTGACTTGTACACAAATGGTCATATTGGTTTTATTTATAAAATTCCAACTAGAAACAATACAAATACCTATCAATCAAGTGAATGAATAAACATTGTGATGTATACTTAGTAATATTAAGGAAGAAAATGTTATTAAACACACAAAAAAGATGAATCTCATAAACAGTCTGCTGATTGAAAGTAGCCAGATATAAAAGTATAACCTCTATGATCTTACTCATATGAATTTTCAGATGGGCAAAACTAATCTTTAATCAGAGAAAGTAGGACAGTTGTTACCTCAGGCTGAAGAATAGGATGCAAAGCATGAGGATAATTTTAAAAAATCCTTCCAGGGTAACAGAAATATTTTATAATATTTATTAAAATGGTAGCTCCAAAATTAAATGTTTTGATACTTCATCAAAGTGTATAAAGAGACTAAAAACACCAGAAACAAAAAGATGTATACTGAAATCAGTTGGAAAAGAATTGACTGTTACACACGCATACACACACAGTGGGTTGTTTCTGAAACCCTACTTGACACCATACCAACAGGAATTAGAGATGAATTGGGTATACAACCCATTTCGATAATTTCATCAGCCATATCATACAACTACCTGCAATCAGGAAGACATCATGGTAACTTTAAATCTGAAAAACAAGTGCCAATGTATCCTTAGAGAAGGCATTTAAATAATCCCTTAAACTTAAAAAGTAAGGTAAAATAAGGAGTACAAGGCCAAATGCATGCATATTTCTTAAGGTTTAAAGAAAATTTAATTAAAGTTCTTTCAGGTGCCAGCTATTACTAGTCCTGCTAGTGTCCAAACCCTTTCTCAGAGTTCTAAGATAAAACACTGAGATTCCTGCACTATTGCTGATACATCAGTAGAAAATGTTGAGAAGCACTGACAAAAGTCAAAGTTAAATTACATGTGGGGTGGATAGGATTCAGTTTATCATACAAAGCAAAATAGATGAATTTGACTCCAAAAAAATTAGAGAACTATATATCAACATCACTTAGAACAAATAAAACAAATAACACACTAGAGGGAAAATTCCCTTGGGCTCTCCTGTTGCTTCTTCTTTGCCCTTCCTTGTTTCACTGTCCTACGTGTGTTTTTTGCTGTGGCCAATAAATTCTGGCTGGCTTTGTTGCACTTCTTCTCCTGACTGAAATATTTCCTTCAAGAAGACAAGAACAGAGGTCTCGACCTCTTACCGGTAGCACTAACAATAAAATGAACATATAAATCACTACACAGTAAGTACATGTATCAGTGATATAATGGATGCAACTATCTGCTGCATAGCAGGTAAAAATATCCTAATATTGGGGTTAAAAAAGTACAATAAAAATAATGAGTCAGAATATAATGTCTACAATTATCAGCACTAATATATTTTTTTAATTTTATTTTATTTTTTTACATTTTACAAATTCTATTGTATAGCAATATATGTTCAACTGCAACTTCCAGACAACTTGTGAATTAAGCACATTTGAAAAAATGCCTTTCCTGATCAGTAAATAAATACAATCTGACTACTGGAAAGAACTGTACTTAGTAATGTTAGTCAATGCTATAAAGAGCAAATGTTTAATGGTTAAAACAAAAAGGGTTATTTCTTAATGTTGAAAATAGGTTTGTTTTCCTTTGTATCACTACTTCCTATTGGTGATTCAGAAATTAAGCATCTTTTTTATACTGGGACCTTGCCATAGTGAACACATGCCTTGAAATTCACTTTGTGCATCTATTTAGTTGACAGGATGGGCCATAGTAAAGTGATTAATGCGGGAAGGTTTGATGGCCAAGGTCTAAAAGTTGTGCATGTATTTTCTGTTCATTCATGATTGATTATATTAGCCACATGGCTGTGTTTAATGTCAAGTATAGATAATATATTGCACAATGTATCATTGAAGATAATAAAACAGGCTTTGGTGGGCATCTAGCAATCTCCCCCACCAGATTTTTAAATCCATCTATCCTTACATTAAAATTTGTATTTATAAACAAATACAATTAAATAATTAAATGAAATTCTAGTATAAAACAATACAATAAAAAAAGAAGAAAATGCTAAACAAGCCTGGCTGGCATGGCTCGGGGTTGAATGTTAACCTATGAACCAGGAGGTCACAGTTGGATTCCAAGTCAAGGCACATGCCTGAGTTGTGGGCTCAATCCCCAGTAGGGGGTGTGCAGGAGGCAGCTGATCAATGATTCGCTCTCATCATTGATGTTTCTATCTCTCCCTCTCATTTCCTCTCTGAAATAAATAATAATATTTTTTAAAATTCTAAACCACAAGGCATGTGTACAGGTTATCTGTAATGAAATAACAAAGAGTAGATTTCTAATCCAGAAAAATAAGTGGCAGAGATCAATAGAATGATACATTCAAATAATAAGGTAACTGTTCAACAGGAAATCTAAAGACAACTAAGCTAAGAGTCTAAAGTAATGGTGAAGTAAAGACATTAAAAACAAAGACACTAATGGCTTCCAGATCCTCCCAGAAAGAAGGGCTAACCATGCACTTCACCAAAAGGAAGAAAACAAGAAAGAAATGTGAGCAAATGATTTAGTAAATCTAAATTATAATGAACTGCAGAAGTAGTTGAATATGTGATGCATGTATTTAGAGACCATATTATTCTTATGCTCTATTTAAAGAGAAATTACAATAAATGTAGGTTAATACAAACCTAATAAGATAAAGAATCTCTCCCTATATTATTTGATTTTGACAAATGCTGACTATACTTTATGGTCTCTTACACATACAAAGTGTCTTCCTGTCCAATAAAACCGTAATATGCAAATGGACTGAATGGCGGAACAACTGAACAACCGAACAACTGGTCGCTATGACATGCGCTGACCAAGTTCTGGTGATCCCAGGCATTCCTTGGTCTTTATAGCAGGATAACGGCAACCTCTGCCTCCAACTTCAAACTGTCTACCTGCGTGTGTTTTTGTGTACTTCATGCTTCTTTATAAGGACACCACTCATAGGACTTAGAGCCTTTATGCTGTTGCTTTAAGCCATTGACCTGAAATGAGATGCTGAAAGTTCTACTTTGGGCTTCCAAACAAAATATAAATAATTTATAAAAGCCTTGCACTGCCTGTGCCTCCTTTAATCTGTTAGTCTTAGGTAGAAGAAATAACCCCATTTGATTTATTCAATGTTGAGTAAAAGGGGAAAAGATGGATCATTGTATTTCCAATGATCATAAAGAAGTCAAGGACACTTTACCTTTCTTAGTTGCTTTCAATAAGATAGAATATAGATGAAAAAAATTAATGGTAATTAAAGTGATCGAATTGTATGCTCGGCATGCCTTTCCATGACTATGAGAAATGTTAAAAGTTGCAATTAGAATTCCTCTCTGAAAGGATATTATCACTAAGGGCAAACGTGCATTGGGTCATTTTCAGCTGTTCTGCTGAGTTTCGGTTATATTGGCATCCATCTTTAATGTGTGATCATAGCCCTAAAGCATAAATCCAGACCTTAAGATTTCAGATCAATTCAAAACCTCTTTTCTTTTCTAATGCTGCTAAACTATATGCAAAATCTGGCATCTTTTCCTTCTTTAAATTTCTATATTCATTAGTAGAGAAAAATGTTCCTGTAATAAAAACTACTGAATACCTTATTTTCCATAGACGTTTCCAAATCATGATTCTCTTTATGGGGTGATTCGGTTTGTTAATGTTCCATGGGGTAGTAGAAATAATATACCTTTTTTTCTATATCAGATGGGTACTAACCTTCAATTCCCGTTCTCATCAAGATTCTTTATTGTCTATTTTAAGCAGATTTTTAAAATACCCCGAGAAGCCATGCCCTTCGCAGCTGTCTAAAACCGTAAACCATATCCTTCATCTCATTTATCTTGGACATATTGCTCTAGTCTATTGAATTTATTATCACATGAAATAAATGTCCAGAGATAAAGATTCCAACATATTCAAGCAAGAATAAAGTAAACAAAAATTGGATCAATGTTTGCCAACATTAGCACAAAGTATAAGAATAGTATAGATATATAATTTGAAAGTTTATTGCCATGTAATCCTTATTAATTATAAAGGGGAAAACAACTTCACAGTTGAGAAACTTGTCAGTCATCAACTTAACCAAGCATACACAGTTAATATGACTAGTAATGACTCAAATTAACAACATCCACCTACTGTGGTAAACCATCACTTCCACTGTATTCTTACTAAAAATACATAACACAATCAGGAGAAAACACAACATACACCTTCATTAAAGGACATTCTACAAAGTTTTCAGGTCATGAAAAGCAAAGAAACAATGAGGAACTGCATTGGAAGAGATTAGGGAGACATGACAGCTAAATGCATGATTTGATCCTAAATCAGATTCTGGACCAGGAAAAGGAAATTAGTCAGACAATTCAAATAATTTGAATAAAATTGACAGATTAGTTATTTGTATTGTGCCAATTCAGTTTTCAGGGGTTTAGAATTGGCTATATGACATTAAGTTTTAAAGAAACTGAATGAAAGCTATATGAAAATTCTTTGAAATATTTTGTGTATCTGAATTTATTTTAAAATAAAAACTTTAAAAAAGCATTGATAACACAAAGATTGTGACAGATATTAGACTATTTAAATAAAACTGGGGATAAGCATACACAAAATTCTAGTACTTTTTTCATTTTAAAACCATTATCTTAAAATATAATATCAGCCCTAACCGGTTTGGCTTAGTTCAGTGGTCGCCAACCGATGGTCCGTGGACCACTGGTGGTCCGTGAGGTCCGAAAGGTTGGCGACTGCTGGCTTAGTGTATAGAGCTTCAGCCTACAGACTGAAAGATCCTGAGTTTGATTCCAGTCAAGGGCATGTACCTAAGTTGCAGGTTCCTCCCTGGCTGGGCCATGGTCAGGGCACGTGCAGGAGGCAACCAATCAATGTGTTTATCTCACATCGATATTTCTCCCTGTCTTTTCCTCTCTATTCCACTCTCTCTAAAAAATCAATGGAAAAATACCCTTGGGTGAGGATTAATATATATACATATCCAGATATTCATCTTCTGTGAGCAACTATAATACCCTCAATAAAGCGTAAGGATTAGCTCATTAATTTAGGAATTTAGAATTGCAAACTTTGTAATTATTAATATATTATACATACATATATGTGTGTATGTACATGTGTGCATGTTATTCTGGAGCAAGTAAAAGACAGAGGTTTGATGAGAGCTTTAGAGAAAATGAAGATTCAGTTACGAAAAGGCAATAAAGGAATAAAGAATGTGATGACGACGCTATAGCTGCAAGGTTTGCTGAAATGACTATGAGTATTACTCAAAATAAAAATGAATAGCTACAGCAATATATATGACTCCTCTCAGAGATGGAAGAGCAAACTTGGCATCAAAATCCTTCCAGTGAAAAACTAACAGAAAAAAGTGCATTGATTGTTTAGCTAGTGTGACAGATGACATCACACTGAGGGTGACTCTGAAAATGATCCAGAAGTTTTAGAACCAGAATTGGAAATGAAGGTGAGATTACAAAGACCAATCAAAGCTACAACACTAGAAAAAGATAAACTGAATTTAAACAATTTCTAAATTATATAAGTGAGGAGAGATGATAGAAGTGGTTTACTTGCTAAATTATTCATTAAAATTATATTAAGATATTCAATTATTTGCTTTAACAAAATTCTTCTCTTTCTCTCTCCTCACTCCCTCCTTCCCTCCCTCCTACCCCCCATTGTAGTCAAGTAAGTTTATAAATCTAACACATTTTTATATGAAAAATAAGAAAAGAAATAAACTGCAGTAAATCTTAAAGAACAAAATTTATTTCTGGAAGATATTCAAGCAAGAAGCAGTAATTAAGTTTTGTTCTCTAAAACATGAAAACAATGACTTATAAAGTTGTGGCTGATTCTTTTACACAGGACTAAGTGATAGATAACCTCATTTGTATGCCAGTTATATATTTTGCTTGTCTTCACCTGAGGAATCCCATAACAATTTGGCTTCATATAAATAAATAGCTTACAAGAAATTATATTTTCAGTGATTTAGGAAGTTCAAATACAGTCAACCTTAAATATTGGAAGGTCAGTCTTTCAAACATACTAATTGAATTATTTTAAATTGCAAAGTGCATAGATTCTTTGATCTGATGAAAACTAATCTGGCCAAAATTCTGCCTTATTTTTCTCTTTCAATTTGTTTTCTTTTCAAATGCTATGATATAAAGTAACTGGAAATATATTTGAAAAATTATATATTCATGTATACAGTTTATTTTATCAAATATCTATACCTACAACTCAAGTTATCTTTTATTTTAAACTTTCTTCTGATCTCAAGATTCATAGGCTATTACCAGACCTGAACAAGGTTTATAAGTATTTTCCTCTAAGTTGATGTAGATTTGGCATTCTCATTTGTTCTATTGCCTGAAGTGAAGTTATAAACACCTGAACTTAATTTTATTTTAAAGGAAGTGTTATCTCAATAGACTTTGAATTTGTCAATCAAATCTATTTCTTTTTCTTCCCTTGTCCTTGAAATAACTTTTCTTCTCTAAACTTCTACATTGTTATAGGAGCCAAAATATACAATCACTATGCAAAAGTTTACCATTTATGTAATAAGTGAAAAAGCAGAAGAAACATTCAATGTTATAATTAATTTTATTATAAGCCAAATATTCTTATATGCATTTTTAAAGAACTGCTTTACATTGTGTTTTTTTTATTTAAATCAGAGTAGAATAATAAAATGAAAATATTTGGCATAAATGTTAAAACTATAAGTTATTATAATGTACACAATAATGATTTTTTAAATATATTTTTATTGATTTCAGAGAGGAAGGGAGAAAGAGCTAGAAACATCAATGATGAGAGAAAATTATTGATTGGCTGCCTCCCACACGCCCTCCACCGGGGATCGAGCCCGCAACCCAGGCATGTGCCCCCAACTGGAATTGAACCTGGGACCCCTCAGTCCACAGACTGACACTCTATCATCTGAGCCAAACCAGATAGGGCCACAATAATAATTTCTTTTCAGGAAATCTGTGCCTCAGCATGTTTTGCTCCTTAATTTAATGGCCAGAATCATCCACAGTTAAATAATTTTCTACATAAACATCTATTTTTTCATATATAAATAAATCTTCTATATAAATTTATAACTATCCACACATGCATAGAAAATTATAATAATAACATAAAATATGCTCTTCATAGGTTTCAGAAGCTTTTTCTCCCTTTGAGCAGTATACAACGAATGTATTTCAGATCGCTAATACATATATGCAACTAATTCTTTTGAATTATTATATTTATTGTAATGAGTATAATTAACTTTATTTCCATATGTTATAAAAATTCTACTCCAAATATTTTTAAACTCCTCCCCCAATCAGTTGTGCATGAGTGTAGCTCTTTATCGTCACTGTAATATATTCTAGAAATTATCAGACTCTATAATACTTGCTGATGTGACAGAAAACTGTTGTGTGCTTTTGTCTTAACTTACACTCTATGATTACAGTAAATATGAGCATCTTTGTTATAAGTTTATTTGCCATGTGTCTTTCTTCTTTTGTGAAATGACTTTCCATGACCCATCTTCGGATATTTCCTTACTAATTCATATTAGCTCTTTATATATTCAGGTTCATTAATTTTGTTTTCAAAATTATTATCAATATTTTCTCTCATTCTCTAAAGTTTTAATTTTAAAAATTCATTATATAGTAGTTTTTAAATAGCTTTTAGATGTTCTATGTTACAAAAAATGTGCTCTAGTCAAACACACAAACAAAAGCATTCTTATGTTTTTGAAAATGACTTTGGCATATAGTCTTTATGTTTTAAAATGACTTATCTTTCTTATAAACAGAACATGGAGAAAGTTAGATGGCAGGAAAATGCCAAAATATGCCATGCTCACAGTTGTATTTGGTTAGAGGAAACCAGCTGTATCTTCAAAATTCCTGAACATGCATAACCGTGAAATATACACATATTATCTCACCTAATAAACAGATTTGGAAATACACATTCTATATAAATAACCAAAAATTAAATACATCTAGAATGCATCAAAATTTTTTTATAACTGTAAAAACTTGGAAAAAATAAAAATGGGTGCATATCTTATAGATTTGATTGTTTATAAGGTAAATGTGGAAATATAGAAGTCAAACTGAATGGGAATCAACATGAACCAAGCAAGGCTTGTAAGTGCCACTCAGTAGGCTGCGTTTTCTTCTGGATAACTAGAGGCCCAGGGCACAAAATCATTTGCGTGTAGGGTCCCTAGGCCTAGCCTGTGATCAGTCCCTCCCTGCCACCGCTCACTCCAGCTCCCTGTGGTTCCCTGTCTGCCATCCAGTGATCAGAGCCTGCGGGCTGGGGCGAGGGACCGAGAGGTGGTCTATGCACCTCATAGCAACTGGTCAATCAGTCGTTCTGGTCGTTATGCCATTATGGTAGCTGGCCTTTTATTATATAGGATAGTTATCTCTTGATACTATTTGCACATTTATCTTTGCTAGCATTATTAGTTTTAATGGTCTGCTTAATACCATTTCCCTTATCTCATGGGTTCTTCTTGGGTCCAATTTTCACATGTCTTATTTTATTTTGCTGGGGTATGTCCTTTAATAATTCTTTCAGAGCTTTGTCAAATTTGAATCCTTAATTCTCTCTGTCTCTCTCTCTCTCTGTCATATTTTCATTCACAGATTATAAGTACCTTTATTCCATGAGATGTTTGCTCATTACCATGACTGGAGTAACAGGGTATACTATTATCTACTCTGAACCTCCTTGTTTTCAATTAGCCTATAGCTCCAGCAT